CATGTTGTGAAGGAAGAAACAAAAATATGGCAGCTTGACCACCACATCGACACCATCATAGAGCCAGTTATAGTCAATTTCAACGAGGAAAGCGATAGCGACAGTTTATTACTGTCAGATGTAAGTGGAAGCGACGATGAATAAAGGTAATTCCCAAATTTTTGACTTACAATATGTTTCAAACCACTCTTTATTAAGCATGTGACAAATCTAGTTCACCCATGTTAAACATTCATACCCCGCCTATGAACAGCCGACTACTGGTAGTTAAGTGATGTTCACGTGAACATCGATGAGTCATTACAGTTTTAGATAGTTATAGTATAGTAGTAGATGGCGCTTCGCGCTTCGCGCTGTCTTATTTCGACTAGCACTAGAGCTACTAAGCGTTAACCAATGCTCTAAGAATCTGGGAACACTGCTCCAGGAGACTTACGGACGGATTTTCAATCGTGTTGTTCCGGTGGTTCTCTAGCCATATCACCAATAGTTCTAATAAATAGCTTACTTGCTCTTCTGTTTCCCCAGGGACAAGACTACGGAGTTAGCACAGTTTGCGACAGCAGTTCAGAAACTGCAGCAGGTTCAACCGCCAACGACGAAGAGAAAACCCGAGACACAAAGAATCAAAATAACGACAAACGCGCAAAGAAGTAAAAATAAGTATCGTGGACCTGGGCAATTTTTGGTAAACAAAGCTGTCCTCACTACGCCTCAAACTTATCATACAGGTATGATAAATCATCGCATTTTCTCAGGTTTTGACATGTTTGTATTAAATTTCAATTTACTTTAAGTATAATTTAATTTGTTGCATCTTAGTCTGTTCGGTACTGAGAATTGGTAATGAACAAATATAATTCTGTAAAACTTTTATTAGATAAAATAAACATCATTTTCAGAGCAGATGATTATGGCTTATACAGGGTGTTTCCTAATTGAATATCGATGGTTAAGAGGGTGGTTTTGCATCCATTTTGAAAAGAAAAATTCATACGGACATATGCCCAACATGTTAAAGTTTTTAAAAATAAATCATTTATTATTAATATACCTATATTATGCAATATACTCGCCTATCTTGGCAGGCATTGGTAATACGCGACAGTTTCTTTTAAAGTAAAAATTATTCTTGGAATCTCCAATATCATTTCTAAGCAAAGATCGCGTGACTTTTTGAATCCGAGGTGCGGTATTCGCTTGAAAAAATAAAAACCGTTTCCCTGCATGATCATAGCAATATCGTTAATATGACGATATCATCATGCAGATAAATGGATTTATTTTTTTTACGTCAAAACGGGCTAAAAAATCAAAACTGCTCATAAGTCAATACAGGTTTCAGTTTTTTATTTTAAGAAAAGTCTGTGGCATGCCAAATGAGCTATTTTTGAAAATTCTGCCGCCTGTATCTCAAAAGTTAAGACGTTTAGTACATACGTTTTTGAGTTTTCGTCTTAAAATGACCCTAAAAATCGCTCCCTTAAATCTTGACATTTGATAAGGAAACATCCTATATATTACCATTTGTGCATTCTACGTCAAATGATCTACTATATCATTTATCCCCATACTCCTATAAATAAGGATGGGATATAAAAAATTATTGTTTTCAAGTTCCAGCTCGTCTGAAACAAACTTTGCGGACAACCACTCCTATCCCCACCACTACGGTACCTATAGCGACAGCCACGTTCAGGATAACACCGAATATTCGACCTCAACCCTTCGCTAAGTTAGGCTTGACTACGCCTGATATTTATCAGCCTATCATCAACCCTGTGTACTACGACACTGTACAACCACACAGAAGATCACTGAATGTAGCAAGGTATAGATAATTATTATCATAATAGGATATACAAAGTCTTTCCTTGTTGGCAGTCTTGTGCTAAAAAAATGCATTTGTTTATTATATTAGATGCATGGTATTCGAATTCGGCGTCTCAAATTAACCACAGTTTGGATCATCAAAAGTGGAACACTTGGCGAATCTTCAACTTTGAAGCTGTGTTTGAATGGATGAGAGCGATACAAGTATTAGTAATTTGGTCATAGTTGTCTCGACTGCCTGAGCCCCGAGAAAACCTCTTAGAAATTGAAGAAACTGAGTGCTGGAAAGTTACAACATACATTATAATGATCTTGTAACACAAGATTCGTATTACAACTGTTGCTCGACCACTGGTACATTCACCATATATAGTAAATAGAGAAACATGTTGTGACCAATTCTCATAGATGGCGCTATGATATCTCATTTTATCTCAAATAATTTTTTTGCCGCTGGAATATAGCATTAGGTTGGCTATCTCCAGATAGAATACGTTAATCAATGCTGATATCAATACCTGGTAGGGGCTGTGACAAAAACTATAGACCGACGCCTATGGTGCGGAAAATCACATCACTTACCTTAAGATGAATATCTGCTTATGTCTTCCCAACCTGGCTACTTGGATGCTTCACCGCTTTCCAGCTCGCACGTGGATCATTGGCGAATAGAACACAATTTTATAAAACCAACAAACAGAAACGGTTACTAAACGAGTATTTTGGTGCATTATTAGTATTGTTCCCGTTACATTAAACGTAATAAGTTTTTTAACAAGGAAACAAAAAGTACTCCATGATATCCGTATCGTAAAACTGATGCCAAAAAATCTAACATTCATGCAGGGTAGATAAACAACTGAACAAGCGTCTGACCAATGAGAATCTAGTCTAGAAAGAGATAGGCGATCCAAACCAGACGGATTTCCAGGGATTTTAGTACCCGGAAATTGAGAACCTGTTGCCAAGTGTAGTCAATTGGCCAAAAAAATTCAATCCAAAATATTTAATTATTTTTCTTGAGCTTTGAAAGTGAAAACGGGTATCACTGTCAGCATTTTTGATTTTAGTACTCGTATATGAATATTTGATGTCAAAAATATTGTAATGACAATAGCATGAAAGTTTAGTTTGAGAATCCAAGTCGTAAAATTCATGTTTCTCTCTGAAGGTTTAATTTTATTTCAAATAGTATTTTTTACGAAATGTGTATTTTTTAGAGAACACTTAGTAGATCTCGTATAACTGGTTTGGTTTTTGCGATACAAAGAATAAATGTGGATAAAACAAAGAGGAATGGGTAGATGCAAAGGAACTATGTAAAAATATTATTTAGAAATAAAAACAAAACTTTCCTCTGCGTTAACGTCTTCTCTTTCATCTTTCTACTTCATACAGGGTACTTCAGAAAATAGTGCAACATTTCAAGCGTGAATTTTGGACTAATACGAGTAGTACCTACTAACAGAATATAATTAATACCGTGAAATGGGGTGAATAGAAACTGCTGGGTGAATAGCAACAAAAACGGGAAACTTCTTTTAAAAAAAATCAACATTGGAATTAAACCTCCCAACGCTTCAAATTTGTTCTCAAACGGTCAACAGATGTCGCCATAACTGCTTTAACAGGCCAAAGATGTTTTATGCTGGCAGCCCTGATTGCAGTAGCAACCACCCGTCGGAGTGAACACATGAGCCTTTTTCATCACTAGCAAAACTTTATTCACAGTGGTTAGCTAAAAACAGGTAAGACATTGAGTTTTTGGTTAAAGTAGCTTTAAGGTGTCTGGTTCACATTGCCTATTTCAGAAATTGCTTGACTTGCTTATTTTTTTTGCTATGATGTAATATAATACATAACCACACTTTTAAGTAATTTTAGGGTGAATAGAAACACGCTGTTTCTATTCACCCGCTGTTTCAATCCACCCCATAACTGTTTTTTCTTTTGCAGGAAAATGCCTCGCGTTTATAAACCAGACCCTCGAGGTAAAACATATAAGAAAATTGATGAAAAAACTCTAAAAATAGCCCTTGCTTCAATTGACAACGGGATGAGTTATAGAGTGGCTCACGAAACATACAACATTCATTATTCTGTGCTTTATCGGCACCACAAAAACCGAAATCTGAAGCTTCATGGAGGACAAACAGCCCTAACCAAACAAGAAGAAGATATTTTAGTCCATCAACTAATAGTTTGTTCCGATTGGGGGTATCCACTTGACCATTTGGACGTCAGGATGATGATAAAAAATTACCTAGACAGTAGAGGTAAAACAATAACGAGATTTAAAGATAATATCCCTGGCAGAGACTTTGTCTATTCTTTTTTAAAACGTCACAAAAATGAATTAAGATCTAGAATCTGCCAAAACATCAAGCGCTCAAGAGCTGCTGTTTCTCCCAATACTATCAATGCTTATTTTGACAATTTAGCCACGGAGTTGAAAAATGTACCGCCATCAAACATAGTAAATTACGACGAAACAAATTTAAGTGACGATCCGGGTAGAAAGAAAGTAATCTCGAAAAGGGGCTGTCGCTATCCAGAACGTATTTGCAATACGTCGAAGTCAGCCGTTTCTATTATGTACGCTGCTTCAGCTGATGGAAAATTTTTCCCACCATACGTGGTTTACAAAGCTAAAAATTTGTATACATCTTGGACAGTTGGTGGACCAAAGGACGTCAGATTTAATAGAAGTCCATCAGGTTGGTTTGATGCGATTTCCTTCTCAGATTGGGTAGAGAGCACTGTCATACCTGCAGTAAAAAATCTACCGGGAAAGAAGTACTTAATTGGCGATAATCTGAGTTCACATTTTTCTGCAAATACGGTATCTCTTTGCGAAGAAAATAATATTTCATTTATATTCCTCCCGGCTAACTCTACTCATCTGACCCAGCCTCTGGACGTGGCATTTTTCCGGCCTCTTAAAACAGCCTGGCGACAGATCCTTGAAAAATGGAAAATGGGGGCTGGTTCAAAGCATTGCACGGTTCCAAAGGACAGATTCCCTTTCTTGCTAAATGACTTGTCAAAGGCTATTGAGCCTAATGCTGGAAAAAATATACAATCTGGCTTTAGAAAGTGTGGAATTTTTCCACTAAATAGGGATCAAGTCTTGGGACGCCTTCCGCAGCAAAATCTTGACGAGACAAATGATGAGAATCAGAACATTGAAGAAGGACTTAATAACTCTTTGGTAAAAGCGTTACAAGTGCAGATTTTGAAAGCACGTTGGATAAAGACGATCAAGAGGATACTGATTTGGAAAGAAGTATGGAAACCTTAGATGAAGATTCAGACCCGGAAATGAATTTGCCCCTTATTAATTTCATGCCAATAATGGCAAAAGCTCAAGATCATTCTTCAAGTGAAGACTCTGACATGGAAAAAGATCAAGATCATTCTTCAGATGCAGACTCAGAAATGGACACTTCACTACCAAGTAAGTCCGAGAATAAGTTGGATACAAATAATTCATCAGCATCAGTCTGCTTTAAGGGTAAATTGTTTCGATGTGTTTCTCCTATTTCGCTTGATTTAATAGATAAAGGAACTTGGCTTCTGGTGTGTTTTCCAACAAAATATCGAAATAGACAAAGAAATAAATATTTTATCGGACAAGTCATTAATATTACAGAAAATGACATTGAAGCCACTTTCTTAAGAAGTCGCCCCACCAAACACTCGTCAGGATATATTTATGGATTTCCAGAAGTTCCGGATGTTTCCACCTTTCATTTTAGCCAGGTTGTTGGAGAGGTTTTCCCAGTTCATGACGAGATAGAAGCATCTACGTCAAGAAGAGACATTTTAAAAATTTAATTTGCATCAAAGTTGTTTAATTTAAATAATATGTTTAAACTTGTTACATTTCTATAGAAATAAATGTTTTTTTTGTAAAATTGGTGTTTTTGTCAGTTTTTTTTGTGTATTTATATTTTTTTATCAATTTAAAAATTTTTTCAGGTTTTTCTATTCGCCTTCGTGTGGGTAGAATAGCAAATTTGACCAATTTAAATGGGTGTTTCTATTCACCCCACATTAAGGGTGAATAGAAAAAGAGCGTTTTTATTTTTTATTTGGAAAACCCCCTATTTTAAAAAAATCTATTATGCGCTTTTTGATCTACAAGTCGAGACCTGTAGATTCCTTATTTTTTGTTGTCAAAAAGGTGACTACCATGTTAGCAACAGAGTAGGAAAGGTCCGAAACTGTTTCTATTCACCCCATTTCACCGGTACCTATAAAAATGTATAAGACGACACCAGTGGCGTAGAGATCGAGAAACTTTGACTCTGCAGAAGAAAAAACAATATGAATAAGGTATTAAATTTCCCATGAATTACTGTGGATAAAAATTGTAAAAAATGTTTTAAAAAACCTCAGCCCATTCTACTCGGAATATGTGCTGAATATATTGAAATTCCGACATTGAAATTTGTATGTAGAGCATTAGGAAAGTAATCCTAATCCTGCTACAATGACGTTATTTTAACAATATTTATGTTTTGTCCTTATTAAGTTTCATCAGTAGCGTAGAAATCTACAACACCCTGTACCTTGGTAATGAAACATTTCAGGACGTACGTTTATATGACCCTGTTTTATCTTTTGATGTATTTTCTGATTCTTAAGAACCGAATGATTTTTATGATAGATTTTTAAGTAGAGTCTCGATGTGTGGCTTAAGATCATTCTGACTCAATTTCTTTGCAGGTTCTAATCCACGCAAATGGAGTAATAGAATGCTTGGACCAAGGCAGTTTTCCGCACCCGATTTCGTGCAAGAAATTCATATCTTGCGCTAAAATGGAGGACGGACAGCTGTTAGGTTGGGAGTACACGTGCCCTAAGGAGTTGAGTTTCGACCCAATTGGAGGCATGTGCAACTGGTCGGCAGACGTTGGGTGCAACGAGTGATATGTGTGATATATAGTGATAAGGAATATGGAACTTAAAGTGAAAATGTTAGAAATATGGTCGTTATTTTTAAAAAAAGATGCGAAAATGTATACCTACGTGTAGAAAAGACGTCAGTGGCTTTCTGCAAATGTTTGTTACAGGCAACAAAATGTTAAGTGTTTAGAAGGAAGATATGTAGAAGACATAAAATATCAGGAGAAAGCAGGGAATATTCTTATCAGATGATAGGTACAGTTTTTTACCAGAATTGCCAGTTTTAAGAAATACCAAAACAGAAGTTTGTAATATAGATCCGTATTTGATTTATTTGTTAGTTCAAATAACACCATACAAATATGACAATGTTTTTATGATAAACATGTAAAATTTGTAAACTACAATTTTTCTATGAAGTTCAAATACACTACTCAAAAAAATAAAGGAAACTAGAAAGAAAATCAAAATTGTTCGGTGATCTTTGACAGGTTATATTTCGGTTTCTTAACGCGGATTCAAGAATATGTCGGTCCAGAGAAACAGTACAATAAAATACATTGAGGAATAAAAAAACCTAAACACATTAGTAGCACTCCCAAAAGTGCAGTCGATTTTCAAAACAAGGCATAAAGTAACTTTTTTTAATCAATACTAAGGAAAGAAAGAATCTTCAAAGATTGCAATCAAATCTTATAGGGGGTTTAATCCACTTTTCAGAAATACCCTTATGGTATTTTCTGTGTGCAGCCACTGGTTACCAAGATATCAGTGGTTGTTGAGAAAAGGGTCTACAATTAACAGTGACGCACATGGTTGCCACATTACTCAAAACTACTGGATCCTAGGAAATAAACCAGAATGTGACAACACAGAAAACTGTTACCAACATAAATGTACCCGGGAAATTCAAACTATACGTACCAATGTAGGATCTATTTTGCATTAAGGTTGGCATTCAAATTTACTAAATATGACGAAACCGCTTTGTTTCAGTGAAAGGACTTTATCTCAACGCCAAATAATCATATCGAAATTTCCAAAACAGGATAATGAGGCTGAATAAACGGCATATCTGATCCATATGATAGCCTAACAAAAAAAATTTCAATCCCATGGCACAGGGTACTATAAAGTGCCCATGGAGTAAAAGGAAGAAGGCAAAAAAAGAAGTTTACCCAAAACACAGCTTGTTAAAGATCACCGGAAAATTTTGACTTTTTTGTTGTTCCCTTAATTTTTTCAGAAGTTTATAAAATACGAATCGTGGAAATACACATTAAAAAAACATTAGCCGATATGTTCTCAAAAAGACTTTCTAAACAATTTTATTTATGAATTATTTTTTCATATAATTTATATTTTTGTAGCATAATGTATATAAAATGTTATTCTTTTATATTATTGTACAGATTGTACTAACAATAAAAATGTTTTTATCATTCATTTTTGTATTTTATTTTACAAAATCTCTGAAACAATAACATCTTTATTCTGCTTTCTGTTTACACCTCATTTTCTCTGTACTTTACACAACATAAAAGTAAGCAGACACACAAGTTTATATAGTCCTTTTGCTTATATTGGTATATCCGATTCCAACGCACGTCAATAAAACTTTCTGTGAACCAGTGCCATCTTGTGCCTCTTCGTTTTCATAATTCTCAATGTTGAATGTTATTCCAAAGAATTCTTTCAGATGCCTGAAGAACCAAATTGAGTTCTCTGTAAGAGGTCCAACGACCAGTTTAGATACATCTTTTTGTCCTAATGCCATAAAAAGAATCGCTAAGGCTTGTGAGGTTGAGTCAACTACTCCTCCTAAGTATATTTCGTACAGAAGACGTTGAGCTGCTGCAGTCCCTAAGTCTTCTGGAACTGAAGGTGGTTCACCTTCTGATACTACATTAGAAACCTAGAAGAATCAAATAACTAAATCACCAAACAAAGACTGATTATAAAATAATGATGGATTTCATATTGAATCAACATATTAGATAATCCGAAGGAGGGAAAAAATACCTGTTCTGATGAATAATATACTCCATTTGTAGTCTCCGCTACTAAATGTATCCCAAATCCAGGGCTCTTCCCTGACTGCTTGCCTCTACTCTGATCAGTGTTGATATAAACATCTGGCAAAAACTGTAGCAAAACACCTTTTGCTTTATCTACAATTCGATTTGCTATTGCCGGCGACACTCTAAGAGCATAAGCAATTCCTCTGACCCTTTTCACCATGCCACTGTCTAACAACTGTACAGGCCTCGTTTGTCTGCGAATGGGGCATTCAAATATCACTTCGCCACCACCCAATGGTAGCATCCCTAAGAATTATACATGCATTATAAAAAGACAATATTGGTAAGCTATGAAGTGTCTCACCTCTTTTAGATATCTTCAATTTTAGGCCTTCGTCATCCAAAATGAATTTCTTCATTGTTTCAAACATTGAGGTCTTTATAAGGTCAACTGATGGGTCGATGTTGTTACTAGTAACTCCTCTCAATGTGGCATGTAAAGGTTCTTTACAGAAGAATCCTAACATGCACAAAACTTCTAGATAGTATCCTATGCCCCTCTGTAGCGAACAGTCATGTTGTATTGTCCCGCCAAAAAGTAAGCCTGGTTGAAAGTACACCGAGGTTCCGGTTTCATTCAATTCTATGACTGTACCATTGGTTACTTTATCCAAAAGTCTTATCAAGCTTACTTCGAATTCTCTTAAGCCGGGTTCATCGTCTAATGTTCGTATCTCAGTTATTTGTACTGGTTTACCACTAAGGACTGATAATACTAATCTTTGCCTGAAGAAATTACTTCCTTTATACAATAACGTGTTTCCTCTCACAACAGCCGACATATTTACACAACAAATCTTCTCTCTTAATTTAATTCAAACTAGGTATACATTTATAAATCACTATAACGAGGATAAACCTTGTTTATATTCTTTCGGTTTTGATTTTGTCTTAACCTAACCTCAAAATATCCACGTGACAATAAATTTATAGATATCTGTAACCGTAGCTTGAGCAACTCTGTGGTAGATGACGCAAAATAAGGGCTAAGCTCTTACTGGAGAGATGGTGATGTTTCTATGTAAGCTATTATCCAATAGATGGCAAGCAATTCATTAGTTTCCTATCTGACAGAGGACGCTGTTCATAAAAACAATGTCTTCTATGGTCTCTAGTAGTGTTGATTCTCGTTACTTTCGGGTATTCGTTACTAATCGTTAATCTTCTACAAAGTAACCATTTATTGTATTCATTACTTTGATTACTACGAGTATAACGTACGTCGTGTAATTAATGTCGAATTAGAACAACTTCAATGCAACCGAATCTTGTAGGAAAATAGACAATCTTAAAATTTGCAAAATTTTTCAAGCATAGTTTATCCAAATCGGCCGTGAGTAATGCAAACATCGTATCTTCAAACTGTATGCAAAACGAGATGAGTTATTTATTATAAGGTGTCATAGGACTCATATAAAGAACTTGCTTAAGCAAATTATATTAAAATACGGTCCTGTGTATGATGTTTCATTTTTGGTCACGACTTGTGAATCACCTTGTATAAGCATCATGGTGAAAAATTCTAAAGTGCCATCGGACCCGATTTGCGATGAAAAATTGGTAGTGAATGCTAGAATTGATTTGACATCGAATTCATAATATAAGCACCTGATTTACTTATAAAACAAGCTGCCAGAGCTGGAGATTTTTTATTAGTCATTTTTAGCAACACAAAAAACGTATAAGAATGTTTCACTTTACTCCGGACAGACCCATTTTTTGCGCAACCAGCATTACATACAAGTATGCTGCAAGTATGTTTAGTAAAAATGCTAGAGCTAGTCACAGTGGCGGTCCGCAACCAACATTACAGAGCGCACCCAACATCACATAAGGCAACCAGCATTACAGAGGGTATGTTTTGTAAATGCCAGTGCTAGTGGCAGTGGCGGACCGCAACCAACATTACAGAGCGCAACCATCTTCACACAGGGCAACCAGCATTACAGACAGTGTGTTTAGTAAACGCTAGAGCTAGTCACAGTGGCGGACCGCAGCCAACATTACAGAGCGCAACCAGCATCACAGAGCGCAACCAGCATTACATACAGTATGTTTAGTAAATGCTAGAGCTAGTCACAGTGGCGGACCGCAACCAACATTACAGAGCGCACCCAACATCACGTAAGGCAACCAGCATTACAGAGAGTATGTTTTGTAAATGCCACATCTAGTGACAGTGGCGGACCGCAACCAACATTACAGTACAGTATTTTTTGAAAATGATATAAAAAATAGGCTACAGGGAAAAAAATAACAAAAACTTCAAACTAGATACTTGAAAGTTTTACTACCCTGCTGTACAGTTCTGCCATTTCGACCCACATGTTTGTTGTAGTAGTACTTTGTTATGCCCCAGACATTTTCAATAGGGTTAAAAATGCAATTATACTGTTCGGCTAATGCATCAACATATCTTATAGGCGGTTTTCATTTCTGTACCTTCTGAAGTAGTTGTGCTTGGAACATGTCAGGACTAAAATCAATTTCATTAATGCTTAACCATTTTTTAATATCCTTCCTTTTTGGATGCTGTAGTTGGTGCCCTATTCTCAATAGTACTATGGTATGGTGCATTGTCCATAACTATAACCGAGGGCCTTTTTAAATTCGTTAATAATTGCTTTTCAAACAACTGCAAAAAGTTGTCTTTATTCATTTCCCCATGGTAGTCTCCATGACTTAATGATGATGAAAATACTAATTAGAAATAGGTGGCCATTATTTTCTAAACATCAATATGATTTTCAGGATTCAAAACATCACGTAACATTTCTGTAATCATACTAAATGCTTCCATTACTCATTCTCGTAACTGAGGTTTAGTTTCAAAACTATGCTGATAAATTTTGTTTTTAGTAAAACAGGAAATTAGAGTTGCCTAGGTTTTCTGGACTTCCCCTATGTATCTTAAAAATATTCAAACATGCACAATTAAAACATTTGGCATTTTAATAAGTCACTATTCAAGTGTAATTCTCAATAACAACCAATGAAAAATATGTTTTCTTTACATGCCACTAACCCTATTTCCTAACAAAACAACGTAAGTCTATAACAGTTTTCCGATCGTTTTCCATTATTATTAATAAACTGTAGTGGATATTCGGAATTTCAATCTTTCAGATCTCGAATACTATATTGAGCCCAAAAAGTACTTTAAACTGGAAAAATTCAAAATGTGGGAGTCACAAAGTCTTTGCAATGAAAGATTCATATCTTTCCTCTACTGATAGTCCTAGAATGTATGCCCATCCTATGACCATTTAAACATACGTATTTTAGTAGATTTTATTATTTCATTATTAAAATAAACCGATCGCTTAGCTGCGAACGCCCTGTATATGATATTCAAAAATACAGATTCGGTTGTGTAGTAAAAATCTAGGTACATGTATAAAAAACAACGTAAACAGTACGACTCTAGCCAAGCGGTAGGGAGAGTAGGAGATGAGAGGGGGCAGGAGGGGTGATCCTGCGGCAAGGTACTGCGCGGCTTCAGTTGTCGGGGTAGCGTCTAGCGGGTCGGCGGTCGGTCAGCGCTACCAAGTCGCGCCGCGCCACGCGTCTTTTGTGCCGTTCGTGAAGTTTCTTTATATCATAAGGCAACGTATGGTGGTAAGTGCGTTTTCAATTGCTTAGGGAGTTTGTTGTACTTGTGTGATATAGGATGTCCCAGAAACATTAACTTAGTAAAAGCTTTCGAGATATTGCCACTTTTGAGTTTTTTCAAAGAATCTCTCTTTGTGATCCTTTTTTGCCTGTTATGGCTATAAAGATTTTTTAACTAATGATTTTGTTCTCCTGGACTACCATTAACAGTTGGTTGAGGTGATTGAAAGCTAGCATGCTAAGAAAAAATATTACGTTTTGTTTAAATGTGAAAACCTTTACTAAAGTTTGACTAATTACTGTGAAAAGAAAATCTACCAGGCTGAATCGGCAAATAATCTTAAAAATTGGCCAATGTAATGATCATTTGAAATTATTTTTTATTTGTAGCATTTCGCAAGTATTACTTCAATGACAAAATTTGGAATTATTCAGTTTTTAGTAAAAGGAACCTACAAATGTTATACTACTTTTGACATAACAATAAATATTTAGTTTTTGTCATTTGCTGATTTTTTTAACAGTAATTAGACAAACTTTAATAAAGTTTTTGGCATTGAAACCACATATGATTTTTTTTAGCATACTTGACTTTTTCCTATATTTTTCAAAAATGTTGATTTGAGTTCTACATTTCGGAAAAACTATCAGATTAAAAAACATGTTTCTACTTGTTTCAGGTCCAGGGTCCAGATGAGATGGAAAACTCAGCAGAACTAGGTGGGTTTTTTTTTCAGTTGTATAGGCTAAACTTGTCTTGAGCAAATTGAAAAAATAACAATTAGCAAGAAATGCAGGGTGCTCAAAATAATCTGAGTGATGTATTTCACATGTTTCAAACTCCAAAAAATCGTTCATTTTGCTAGCTTTAGTTTGAGAGGCAATTTCAAAATATTTTTGTATTTGTTTCAGGTCCAGCTATAGCTGAAGGCTCAACAGAACGGCAAACTAGGTAAGCGCTTTTATTTGAAAATCCTATGTTTCAAATGAAACTAAGCCATGAATAATGATAAATGTTTTTTTGAAGTATAATGAAATTTAGACATATGAAAGAATAGGGGTTGCTGGAGGCAAAATGCTTGAGTTTTTCAATTTTTTTCTGTAAAAAATATGTTGAAAATATCGCAGTGCTAAGATAATTGTTGAGATTTGAATAAAAACGGAGGGCCAGTTCTTGGATATTCTGAATAAATGTTATGAAATATGATTTTTTTTATGAAAAGTCAAAGATTTTCTTTCAAGACATTTGTATATCTTACTTTTAACGGATTATGTGACACAAAATTCAAAATTTCAAGGGTTACAATATTGGTTTCATCAATATTAATACAAAATAATGCTTAAAATTGAACAAAAGATGTTTTGGGATTTCATTTTCAGGATCAGATTCAGCTTTATATCCTTGTGTTTTAAGTCCAATGCCCTGTAATTTATACTCTAATTCAGATTGTTCAAAATTCTTGTGTTAGGTTTATTCATGGCATAAGAAAATATGATCACATTTCGGAAAAAAAATAAAAACTAAATGGATCAACATAAGAAACAGATTCAAAATTTCTATGATCACCTTATTCAATAAAATTATCACACAAAAGAGAGATACCTGCCTTTATAAAAACAAAATTTCGAACAGAAGTTTACCATATTAATTTCACATCCAAACTCCTCATCACTACCCATAAAACCACCATTTATGAAAGGAGTTTCAGCTACCAACTTGCTAAGGTATATAACAACATCCCTCAAGAGATTATGAGGCTGAGAGAATTCCCATTTAAGAAGACAATTAAATATTTTATTCTAAAAAACAGCAAAAATGAAATGTCATAACTTGTATATTCAACATTTATTATTTAATTGATTGGACCATTCAACTGATTCATTATTTTAATTGTACATTTTTTTTTGTTCCTTTGTAAGGTTGAGTGGAAGAACACGCCGTGTGAACTCCGCATTTTGGTTAAGCCAATAAAGACAATTATTATTCTTATTATTATTATTATTTCAGAAAATAAAAGGAAAAAAGGAGCTTTGTGGATTCGTACCTACGGTTATACAATCGCATCTTGGCTTACTGGATCTTTATACCGCTACAATGGACACTGACAAATGTCAAGAGAATGTTGCAGGCATATCAAATCTGGTATAAACAATTAGAATACTCTTGAAAACCACGCTAAAACTTAATGTATTAGGGACTGACACGGAGCACTTTGCCTAACTTTCCAGACGGTCAGTTCGCTACAATTGGTTGATATTAATCTACTGTTTATCATTTTGAACTCGCAGCCGTTTTAATCGTACGAGATTTCGAAAACAAACGTAAGAATACTTTTTAGAAAAAAGGTCCATGGAATTCCATTTCTACGTAAAGAAACTGTATTACGTGACCTACTTATT